TAACAGAAAATGTACAACGTTTCGACAAGGTTTGGACAAAACCTTGTCGAAACGTTGTACATTTTCTGTTATGTTAAACTTATATTAAAGTTTTTCTTCATTACCCATTCAAGCCGTCTCCAGCCATTATTATTGTCAAAGTGGGTTCCTCGTCATCGAATATAATCTATTGCTCCTGATATTTAATGTAAGTCTTCTTTCAAACTTTGGCAGTGCATCATTTAAACAGATCTTTCTTTTTTAAGCATTTATCACTTGTAATCACTCAAGTTACATCAGCTTATTGGTTCCAGAGATGAGTTATTAAGATGATACTTAATCAATATAATTTAAATCATGAAAAAAACTTTATATATTGTACTATGGTGCTTAGCAAAACAGGAGATGATTTGACTCATGCTTTTTATACATAGAGCCACACAATAATGATAATTATATTTATTCCTAATAAAAACACAATGATAACTTTCATTTGAAAAATTTTCCCTGAGATATTTTATAAAAACAAAATTTATTAGTTACTATAAAAAATTTAGTTCATTACAAAATTAAGTGATTATAGTAAGTTTGTGTTCCATTAACTCTATAAAAAATAACTAGTTTTTTCTATCTGTTTCAGTAACTGTTCACATAAGCCGTGTTACAAACTTAACATTTTTGTCTATAACAGTATAAGTATCTTTATCTACAAACTATATAAAAGACACATAAAAATTAGAAATTCAAGCCATATAAAGCAGTAAACTGGAACTATTAAAATGCAAAGATGAATAAATGCTAGCATATATTAGTACTTTGATGAAAAAAACATACAAAAAAACAACTCCTTACCCACAGTTCAGCTCCCCAGTTCACACTTGAATCCATTCAAAATTTGAAAATTCTACCTGTTAGTGTTACTGTTAGCCTACTGTAATGTGACACTGACAGCCTAAACATCATTCTTACAATGTCATGTTAAAAATCTTAGTAGTTGTACTGTTCGGTTTCATTACTTTCTATACTATTACTACGAATTATTATACTTTTAAGTTTAATGAAGTGCAGCAATACATTAAATATTAGAAGATACCTACTCACAATTAACAGGCCACTTCATATTAATAATAAATTAGCACTAACTAAAATTATGTTTTACTTTTTTGAAATAAAAACAAAGACATCGAAATACTTTTTCATATAATTATAAAGTTATGATAGTTTTCTGGTTTGTTATCACTAACATTTCTCAAAAGCTAACCCCAACTGTCAAAGTTCCGATTAATAACATTAACACTATATATGCAATGTAGGCGTATAGAACAAGTTCGCGAACTTTTGTAAAAAGCGTTCTAAATTATTTTTACTTTTATCCCATCATGTCTACTAATGTAAAGTTGTTAGGTTATCGATGTACATTTAACTTTGACTCAATTTGGCACTTATAGTGAACAATAACAAAATATTTATAATTTATTTTCTGTCAAAACCATCTTAATTTTAAAATATCACAATTACTATAGACAATAAAATAACTACGCCCATCAATTCAATAGTACTAGTAGTTTATTATTTTTATTTACTTTTAATCTTAGGGTACACTTCGTTCAAACTGTACGCTAGTGTCATCTGTCGCACTGAAAAGAATATGTTTGATAAATGAAATTAAGTTCTATGAGACTCCAGTATTTAAGAAGTTAAATATAACCTTTCAATGGCAATATTGTAAAACTAATTTCCGATCCACATTTCAACAGTTATCTAAAAAAAAAAAAAACTTTTTGAGTACTTCACTCAGCCGCTATAGAATAATGTTTGTCTTTTTCCAATATAAGGTTTAATTGTTGTTATGCGTAAAACAAAAGAAAGGGCTATATGCACTGTGTCCATTACCCGATTTTGAGTTATACAAGTTTCAAGATTACCGCCGAGTCACATAGAGTTTGGTTTGTTTTGAATTTCGCACAAAGCTACACGACGGCTATCTGCGCTAGCCGTGTTTAATTTAGCAGTGATAAGTTAGAGAGGGAAGGTAGCTAGTCAACACCACCCACCGCCAACTTATTCGGCTGCTCATTTAACAACGAATAATGGGATTGACCGTCGCATTGTAACGCCTCCACGGCTGCAAAGGCGAGCATGTTTGATGAGACGGGGATTCGAACCCACGACCCTCAGATTGCGAGTGGAGCACCCTAACCACCTAGCAAGCATTTACGAGTTGTGAAGAATTTTGATCTGCATGAAATTGATTAATAACACTGCTGTCACGTCACAGGCAAGGACTCAGTTGCAGCTCAGTCGCTGGTAGTTTAAATTCAATAATTGAGCATGAAAGTTTCAATAAAGTTCAATCACCTAAATTGCGAGTAAATGTCCAGTAGCTGTTTGCTGATTCTTTAATTTAGGCTTCATATGAAGGATTAGAAACAACTTCATTCGCCCGTAATATAGCCTCGTTTTGGGCTTTACAGATTACTTTGAGCATACTAAGGGTTAGGACCACATCCCATTCAGGTTCAGAATATTCCTTTGAACGATCTCCCAGGCTTTCAACAGTCGATCCGACGTAAGCGTCCTCACACGTTGGGCAGCAGAATTCGTAAATATCACGTGACTGTTGAAAAAATTGGATACGATCTATACATCTGAAAAAGAATCTGAATTCACAGTAAAGGTCTGAACACACATTGAAGGCGAAGTTGTGGATAGACTGTTGATTATGGTGTTTACTTTCCTCTTCAATATTCATGAGTATGAGCCTGTGTACGGTAGAAAGAATACCACCTCTAGTTTTGAGACGTTATAGTTCAGTAATCTGGATAGATGTAGTTGCTGAATGGTTTTATTGATTATATAATCAATAAGCTGTTCGGGAAGGAGTTAAGTTTTAAAACAGATTTTAGCTGGAGTAACTCTTGTTGAAAAAGTTCCAAGGTGTGCACGATATGATGTGCACGAGACATAAGGCATTAACTAATCAGCAAACAGCTACTGAACATTTATTCACTGGAAGTTTAAATGCTCATCAGAATGATGTTGACATGTTAGAGTAGAGAATAATTAGAGTTAGAAAGTTTTTAATAATAAAGAGAGGTGCACCAGTTTTAATATTTTATATGATATAAATTGTAATATTGAGATATAAGTATTTACTAAATTATTTCAAAACTTTAGTGTTTGATAAGTTTAAAATGTCTACTTTGATGCTGTCTGTTGCCTAATAGTCCTATCGTCATCACGAGGTCACTTTAGGCCTATTTATATCATAATGTGACTATAATTAATTACACTTGTCATAAGACATTATGTTAGGCCTATTATATTTGTTAAAAGTACATTCTTAAACTAGTCCATTAGTGATTTTCAAAAAATAATATATAATAATAGTTTTTGATCTGCCGCTAGCTTGTAAACGGTGTTCACACCATAACAGCATATGACTATCACAGGACCCTATACTGTATTATATCACTACACCCAACCCTTAACCTATTAGAAGTGCAGGTCTATACACCATATAATAACAGTATGGTGGTAATGGTGGGTCAAAAACCATAAGATAACCGAAGTAGGCTAGTAAGAGACAATATTGACACTGTCTAATAGCAATAGGTGACACTAAGTAGTTGTCGTGAAATTTGAAGAGTAAGAAGTATACCAACAGCTGTTAGTTCGCCATTTTTTAGACCTAGTAACATCAGTATATATATATATATATATATACAGTACAATGATGGTTTTAATCGGCAATGAGTAGCTAACGTGTCATGAGACTATAATTGTTGGTTTACAGTATAGTTGTCAAAAGCAATGCCACATATGTGATGTGTACCAGCATGTACATCAAATTACAGAGGACAGGAATATAAAACTGTTTTTCACTTCCCTCAAAACACTGTACACCGAACAAAGTGGTTACTTTGCATAACGAGGAAGGATTTCACGCTCAGTAAAGATACTGTGGTCTGCGTTAAACATTTTATTTCGGAATGCATTGTGACTAAGGACAGTTTGTTTATTTCAGAGCAGTGTCACATCGGGCTATCTGCTGTGTCCACTGCGGGGAATTGAATCCCCGGATTTTAGTGTTGTAAGTTCGTAGACTTACTACTGTCTCACCGGGGGGACACATGCAGATGGATCAGAACTTATGTTCCACGCAAGATTGCAAAGCTTATTGATGACGTGTTTTCTTCAATATTTCTAAACTCACCCACAAGCAAATTTAGACAATCGGGACAATCAACTCTTGTAACAATGGCATGAGATGACGAAATCTCATCTTTTGGCTCTCTTTGTGGAGATACTGACAATCGTGTTGGAATTGAGTCTGGTTGATTGATAGTAAAGTCTGACGTTGCTGCATTGTTGATACTATAATGTCCAAAGGTCACAATTTCTGCTAAAATTCTCTCAGATTTAAGTGTGAAAATGTTTGATGATAGGAAAGAATTAGACAGTGCTAACTTGTTTTGGATACTTTCTTCTAGAAACAGGTTATACTGTTGGTCAAAGCTTGACAGTATTCTTATCAGTTATAAAAATGATGATCAAAATGCACTTGTAAATTAGTCAAAGATGGCTAAGATAACGGGTTTGTTGCACGAATTATGTGATATTACTGATATGGATGATAAGCGTGTGTTTAGTTTACATATCTTGCTGGAGCACTTGAAGTTTATAGTTCCTTCTCGTAAGACTTATAGTGCAGAAATGCTACTGTGGGCTGATTTGGTGTTGTCAAAAGTGCACTAACTTTGCCAAACGTATCATACCTCAGGTGATCAACATCGTGTTTGTTATTATCACCCAGACTCGAATTCAACTCAAATTCCCACCTGACATACTTGACAAATAAAGCTGCACATTTAGAGTCCCGCCTAAAAATGGTTTCCCTCTTACTTGATGAGATTAGTGTACAACCAAATGCCAGCTTCAAGGATGGTACAATCGAAGAATTTGCAAGCAACAGTCCATTGCAGCAAGCTACAACAATACAGACGTTTATGATTTCATCTGTTTTGTCAAAGATCAAAGACGTAGTTGCTCTCTTTCTTGTTGTAAATTTAAATGCAGCAAACTTGAAAGAAGTTGCTGTAAAAGTGTTACATCTTGTGCACAGTGGATGATACAAAGTCTTGTGCATGGTATCTGATAACAAGAGAATAAATCGAAACGTTTTTCACATTCTGTAGTAAAGATTCAATTCCACATCCACTTGATTCAAGCCTGACCTTGTTTTTCTTTTTGATTGTTTGAAGTTAGGCACAAAGGTACACAATGGGCTATCTGTGCTCTGCCCGCCACGGTATCAAAACCTGGTTTCTAGCGTTGTAGGTCCGCAGACATACTGTTCTGCCACTGGGGGCTTTCTATTTGATCGCATTCATTTGCTCAAATGTGCGTGAAGCAACTGGGTTAAACAAGCTGATTACAAACAAACACTTGGCATTGATGACAAGAATGTTATTCGCTAAGCTTGTTTCGGAGACTTGAAAAGATTATATAATTTTGAAGAAAGTGATTAGCTAGATTACACCCTAATTTGACTGTATCCAACAAACACTGAGTGACAAAAAGTAAGTTTACCACTAAAAGTGTTCAATGACAAAGCAGTTACAGCACTTCAATTTTTTCCGAAGTTGAGATATGCTGTGTTTGATACAAAAATGTTCATTGGGTTAATTTTGAAACTGTGGAAAGTTTTTGGTGTTAAAGGTCCTTTGATAGGAAGAAATGTGTAAGACAGTGACTTTGATCCTTTTCGGTCTATTAACGAGGAAAAGCTTGAGCTTATGGAAAGGATAATAGTAGTTATCACAATAGCTTGGGCACATGCACTGATTGGCTGCCTCATAGAGAGGAGAAGGGTAGAGACGATGCCGTAATAGAACCATGCACCAGAGACGATTACATAATAGTTCCACGAAGAAGCACTAGAGGACGCTGCTATCTTAGAGGAGAAGTGGCATAAAAGTTCTACGAAATGGCACTAGAGGACGCTGCTATCTTAGAGGAGAAGTGGCATAAAAGTTCTACGAAATGGCACTAGAGGATGCGGCTGTCTTAGTGTCATAGTTCCAGAAAGTTGAACCTGAGGGCACGTTGGTATGATGAGCACGCTGATAGTTCGCGAGTGAACCACCAGATGGTAATGTAGGTCAACATTTAATCAGCTTTATAGTAACAATCAAAGTATTAAAATTAATATGCTATCTAATTTACATAATGTTGTGTTTATAGTTATCCGTACTATAAAGCTCTTTATCATGAATACAGTTTCGCTTAATAATTAAAGTATTAAATCTGCTATTTTAATCTTATCAACTTTATAGTTTCTGTTGATATATTCAATTTCATACCTCTTACAAAGGCAGACAATGTTTCTATAGGCAGATAGTGTTACTACAGGCGGATGGTATTACTAGGTGAATAGATAAATAAGATGATGAGCTCATCATAGGGTCAATCGCATTGAAAGGTCTGGATTTAGAAAATTTTGTAACACGCACAAACATACACATTTTTGGTAAAATATGTTATTTATAGTTTGCAATGATGTGTACGAGACTAAAGTTATGTCACT